CCTGCGGCGCCCCCACCCGCCTCGCTGCTGCATGCTCTGCCTGCATCATGCTGCTGCTGCTCCTGCTACTACTGCTGCTGCTGCTGCTACTCACACATCGGAGCACAGCCATGTGGCCAGTACGGCACTTACAACTGGGTCAAGCGGCTGCTAATTTGCTGCTGCTGTTTGTTACATTTGTGCTCCAGCTGACCTACTATCTTTAGCTGCTGCAGCAGCTGCTGCTGCTGTAGCTGTTGCTGCTCCTGTAGCTGCTGCAGCGTGAACTGTCGCAGGTCTTGTTGCTGCAGGGTCGCCCCCTTTGGCTTCTGCTGCTGCGGAGCGGTGCATAGCAATACAGTGCCGGTGCTGCTGCTGCTACTGCTGCAGCAGCTGCTGCTGCCGCCACTGCAGCAGCTGCTGCTGCTGCTTGTCTTGTGATTCTAAGGCAGCATGCTGCCCCACGAGCTGGCAAATAGGCAGAATGCACTTATCTTCGGTCCCAGCGCCCTGAACTGTAAACCCTAAAGCCTAAACCCTAGACCCTAAACCCTACACCCTAAACCATAGTTCAATCGGGAGCCCCAGCACACGCACTCCAGTGGGGCTGCATGCACAGAACACTACAAAAAAAAGAATTAAGAAGCAATTCAAACTTAAAACTCTGCAGTCTGCTGCTTCAAGCGTGCAGCCCACACATATTGCAGCAGCAGGATCGACAGCAGCAGCAGCGCAGCAGCTGCAGCACCAGCGCGCTCGCGGATCTTCGCCGAAACCCCTCTTAATTGTCTTTATTGCATCATTTAATTAATTATAATAATTATTAATACACTTTTAACTCTTTGGAGCTGCTCAAGTGGCTCCAGCTGCCCCTCTGCGCCTCAAAAGGGCCCCAAATCGCTGTGGGGACCCCCCAGTACCCTCTGGCTCTTCAAGAATCCCCCATAACCTGGGGTCCGGGGGCCCCCAACCCCAAACCCAGGGCCACCTAGGGGCCCCCGGGGGCCCCCTGCTGCGTGGGGGGCCCCTGGGGGCCCCCTGCTTACTTTAGGGTCTCTGGGGTTCCCGGGGGCCCCGGGGGGCCCCTGGGGTCCCTGGGGGGCCCTCAGCCAACGGGCGGCCCCAAGGGGCCCCAGGGATTGACTAGAAGGGGGGCCCCTAGAGGAAAGATGGGACTTCCCTTGGGTTTTGTCAGATGCACTGCAGCAGCAGGAAGTGCTGCTGCAGCAGCAGCAGCATCAACGGGTGCTGCTGCTGTTGCTGTGAGGATGTGGCAGAGTCGTGTTGCTGCTGCTACTTTTTCTACAGCTGCCCGAAATGCGGCAGCTGCAGCAGCAGCAGCAGCGAGAGCAGCCACACCACCTACAGCAGCAACGGCAGAAACAGCAGCTGCAGCAACAGCAACAAAAGCAGCAGCAGCAGGGGCAGCAGCAACAGCAGCAGGAGCAGCAGCAACAGCAGCACCTGCTATACCTCGCTTCTTCATGGCTCGCCCCTTTATTTCTCTCCTTGGAGACGCTGAACCAGCAGAACCAGAGGCCGACTGGCTCAACCCCCAACTGGTTTGCTGCTGCTTCTGCTGCTGCTGCTGCTGCTGTTGCTGCTGGTGCTT